AGAATAATGCTTTTGAACAGAGTTCTGAGGCACAAGACCCCCCCAGAATAATTGCTCTTGAACAGTGTTCTGAGGCACAAGACTCCCCGGAATAGTGCTCTTGAACAGTGTTCTGAGGCACAAGACTCCCATGAATAGTGCTCTTGAACGATGTTCTGAAGCACAAGACTCCCCAGAATAATGCACTTGAACAGTGTTCTGAAGCACAACACTCCCCAGAATAATGCTTTTGAACAGAGTTCTGAGGCACAAGACCCCCCAGAATAATGCTCTTGAACAGGGTTCTGAGGCACAAGACTCCCCAGAATAATGCTTTTGAACAGAGTTCTGAGGCACAAGACCCCCCCAGAATAATGCTCTTGAACAGTGTTCTGAGGCACAAGACTCCCCAGAATAATGCTTTTGAACAGAGTTCTTAGGCACGAGACCCCCCAGAATAATGCTTTTGAACAGAGTTCTTAGGCACGAGACCCCCCAGAATAATGCTCTTGAACAGTGTTCTGAGGCACAACCCTCCCCAGAATAATACTTTTGAACAGAGTTCTGAGGCACGAGACCCCCCAGAATAATGCTCTTGAACAGTGTTCTGAGGCACAACCCTCCCCAGAATAATACTTTTGAACAGAGTTCTTAGGCACGAGACCCCCCAGAATAATGCTCTTGAACAGTGTTATGATCAACCCAAGGTTCAAAGTCGCCACTTATCCCCATAGGGACCCTGGAAATCAAACAACGGTCTGGGATAGTTAATTTTTAGAGGAAACACTATTTTTACTGCTTAAAATGGTGAGTTTTTAATATTTGGGCCTATTTATATATATAAAAAAAAAAAACGTGATCCGATATTTCATATTTTTCAGACAGTCGATGAGGGCAACAAAACAATTTTTTTTTGTTTGCCTAATGTATATGTGAAGTTTGAGCTTGATCAGTCCAGGCATGTCAAATATATGGACCAGGAACTGCATTCTTTGAAACCAAATGGCTGCCAGTCGGCCTTTTATGAACCCAATTTGAAAAATATAATGACATGCATCAAGAACCCATTATTTTATGTGTGTACTAAGTTTGAATAGAATCTGTCCATGCATGGCTGCGATCCACTTCTGGAATGGGGAATGTGCGATTTTGATGCACCTTTATCCTTAAAATGACAGCCATCTTGAATCAAATCATGAAACAAATGAACGTGCATATATTTGATATAATGTCTAATGTATGTGTGAAGTTGAACTTGATTTGTACAAGCATGTGTGAGATGTGGCAGGATGCAAATGGATAGACACATGCATACACACACATCAATCCATAAGTCCCCATTTTGGGACATCGTCAAAATATTATTGCTTACTTGGTTTTATTTTTTAACGTATTTCTCACTTTGAACACCAAATATAGTGATACTAGAAAGGGGTTGATGAAAGATTCAAGGTAAAATGGTCCAAACGTTCGTTAGTTTGTGTTTCAGATAGCATGCAAATTTTCCCCACTAGAGCTCACATTTCACACTCAGCAGAAACAAGTCAGCTATCTGATGGATGGATGCATCTCAGATTTTCAGATAAATCATTTTCAGTCTATGACTATGACATCAATATCTGGAACACCTGGTATTTCAATGGTCATTTCTTCTACCTCCATGTCCTCCATTCTAGCCTCAGACTTGACCTCACTTTCACTTGCTGGTTGCGGCTCTGTTATAGTAAAGACTTCCCGCTTGATACGTGTTTGTACATCTGTAAGACAATAAGCTGGCACCACCACATGAAGATCAATGACTTTTGGTTTGAGCTTTGTATGCTGTGGTACAATCAAATCAGCTTCAAAATCTGTTTGCACGTCAGCGTATCTGTCCATCTCATCTTCCATATTTGCGTTTTCATCTTGTAGATGGATTCCCATTTCTATCAAATCATGAGATATCATGTACTTGACCGAGAGAGTACTCAGGATGTCTCCTGCGATGATTCTTCCATAAGACTGACGATTGGGGTTTACAGTCCAAGATTCAACTTCTTTACCAACCTTAGTTGTTACTAAAGTGTAATTTCCTATGTCAATGAATAAGTTATGGATTAAAATGCAATATGGAAGAAAATATAGAATATTTAATACTGTTGTTTAATACTGTTTAATAATGTTGATGAATATATTGGACTATGCTTCGGCATGATTCAGTATTAAAGCAATCAGACTGAGAATTCAACAAGAATTCGAAAATATCACTTTTTACCAAAAATTACAAAATATTCACATAAATTAGAGAATTAAAGATATCATCACAAAATGAAAAAATCTGAGAGGTCTACATGTAGTACAGATACATATAATATCAAAGCAATCAGACTTGCTGTTTTCAACAAGAAGTCGAAAATATTCACCGAAATTAGAGAATTGAAAATATCATCATGAAATGAATAATCTGAGAGAGGTCTACCCAAGATACATACATACCAAGTATCAAAGCATTCATGCTTGTAGTTTTCAAGAAGAAACCAAAAAAGTAACAAGCAGCCTGTCGGCTGAGATAGCTCCACTGTTATCAATGCACATTTCAATTAAAGAACTGAAGACATCATTAGAAAATGAACAATATGTATAGTATCATATATATGAAAGCAATTGGACTTGCTGTTTTCAATAAGAATTCGAAAATATAACTTTTTACCAAAAATATTCATCAAAATTAGAGAATTGAAGATATCATCATGAAATGAACAAATCTAAGAGAGGTCTACCCAAGGTACATATACACCAAGCATTCAGGCTTTAGTTTTTAAGAAGTCGAAAAAATAAAACATTGACACTGACGATGACAGACAATCACTCATAGGATAAGCTCCGCTCGACTAAGTTGACAGCGGAGCTAAAAATATGTTTTAGTCCATATTGCATCTTTATAGGTCATAGGTTAAAGTTCACATATTGGTCATCACATTCAAGTAAAACAATGAAGCTCTTCATGATAAATAATAGATGCATTTAGACTTGTTCTCAATCAATCATAACCAAGCTGGTCTAATTTGAAGAACATTAATGATGATTTTTGAAAAACAAAGTTCATACAAGTTCAATCATAATAAGACATAATTGTCCCATTCCTGTCTATAAATCAGAATATTAGTGATAATAACATGAATAACTAAATAAAGAGAATATATTTGATTGTATTGGGCAATGTATCACTGGAAAAATAAGATTCATTTGCAATTTTCTCAGTTCATATGATATGTAGGACAGGCTGAGAATGCAGAGAATTTAAATATTGAAACCATAATGTCTTTGAAATGTAGGATTCATCAATTTTGATTCAAACAACATAAATAAATGATGTGCATCAGTACAGACAGCACCATGTTTGAATAAAACTGAATCAGACATACCAGAGAAATGGTTTATGATATCTTGAAACAAATATGCTTATGATATGAATACCAATGTGTTATGGCTTTTGTTTTTACTTGGAACACAAACATTCAGAGCAGAACCTGTCATAGAAATGATTGAAGACCCATAAAAATAAAACCAACATGGCCACCAGTCGGCCATTTTGAATCAAAATCTGTAACCCGGGCAGGAGAAGATCAATATCAAGTTTGAATAAAATCAGCGAAGGCATATCTAAGAAACAGTTCAAATTTTGATCTTTTTTGGACAATGCATATGTAATCAATTGTTTTAATTTTGTACCAACTTTGAACATCAGTAAAGATGAGAAATGACGCACAAACTGATGGATAGAACACAAAATATTAGTTCTTGTTTTAAACTACATCCAGCAGAGTCTAATAAACAACAATTCTCCCCAAATCCAAAGTCTTCAGTAGCTGCGGTCAAATAGCAGTCATAGAAGACTAAAATTCTCTCTGATTGGAAAGAAAAATCTGTGATCTATCTTACCATTCGTAATCATATGAACGTCTTTCTTTGTTGCTTGATTGTACTGGAATGGCTTTGTATATGAATGTGAAGGAGATCCATAGGATATATTACAACATTCAACAATGATAAACCCAACTTTTTCAGGGTTTGGCAAGTCAGATATATGCTGTAAATAAAATATAAACAAATGTTTACTTGACCAGTTCAAAATTTCAACATAATTTTGTATTCATTTTTTTTTATGTTACACTGGTAAAATGATTTTTTCATATCTTAAAATTTTGCTTAGTGACATTGGATGAACAAGTTATAACGTACTTCCCAGAGTATAAGCCCCTCCCAAAGTATAAGCCCATCCCTCTGTTTTTGAACATTTAACGAGTTGAGGGCATCCCCGAGTATAGGCCCAGGGTGTTTTTACTGGGCGTCAACAACATTTATTAAAATATGCATTTAAAAAGTGTATTTCATTGCATAAAAATCATGATTGGAAAACTCGCATTAATTTCAGAGTGCACGGCGGGCGAACGTACATAGTTCACACGTTTTCTATTCTGTTATTTACTCGGGATGAACCCGATGTTGCAATACTGAAATAATCCATATTTCTTTTGAGTAGTAATTTTCCAAACGGCAAAAATGTGATCGTCAAGTCGTGAAAACTGGTCACTGAACATGTTTTACTTTTCCGAATAATCATGTCCATTGAGTCTATCTTGAATGGGGTGTGAACGAGCAGACTATTCTTCGACATGACTTGTTGTCGGCCGTGAAAGGTTTAAATACTTTCCCCACCCTCAGATTACCTTTCAAAAATTGCGAATCAACAGCTTTTAGGGAAAAAAGTCACTGTTTTTTGTGAAAATCAGTGTTAACAGATGGCATTTTAACATCGCGGTAATACACTTCCGCATTGCGTTGATAAAAATAATCATCAATAATTGGGAAACTTCGACTGTATGACAGAGCATTTTCATTGGTTATTGAAAGACGTGACCTGTTAGGTCAAAGGAAGTTGTTCATGTCAAATTATGATGAAACCATGGCGGAATTAGCTTTGTATCGAAAGTTTGCGTACGATCTTGCCTTCGACCGTTTTCCCACAGACCCTACCCATTTTTGTATTGTAAATTCAGACGGTATGTGAACTGTATTGTAATAAAATTTAAAAATAATATTTGTTTATTCATTGTAAAAAGCATCGTTGAAATCAATGACATCTCGTTTCGCATTTTTGTTTTCTCAAAAAGACGTAATATTCCTCCGAGACCGGCGCTGTGGACGAAAAATGTAATTTGAATAATGTTTCGAGGCTGGGAAGATGGTTACGGTTTTAAACGCACCAACAAATTATATTTTTTCTGACGTGGTCCTCGAGTATAAGCCCAAGTTTTCAACGTGATAACAGTTTTGTAATATATACAACGAGAGGTTCTCTCCCATAATGCATTGTGTATATATAAAAAAAATCATGCAGTTTGCCATCAAAATCTCTTCCATGTTGTGTTCATTAATTTAACATATTTGAATGAGCTATGGTAATTTAAATATGTTGACATCATCCATCATTTTGATTGGTTAATTAGTGATTAGACTATCAAGAGAAGAAACATGACGGATATTGTATCACATCGAGCGTTTACATGTGATCGGAATCATTCGCCTATGATGAAACTAAGTTGAATTTTACTTGCATTTCTTAACAATTCAAAAAATTTATTTTTTGTACATTATTATCTCTACTGGGTAATAATCAACAATTGTGAAACGCAGCATGACCAGATTGTGCTACCGTGATCATTTGCTACTAACACTGCAGTTGTGTTTGTTTTTATTTTAATTAAAATATACTTTCGTTACCAATAAAATTAAAAAAAATAAATGCATATTACATTAAATATGCTGAGTAATTTTTGTCATCAGGTGAACATTTTTTTTTTGATGAAGCACGGATTGATTGGTATGGCCAAAACGACAAAAACAGTGTTGGTTATATAGACATTTTTTCTTTGATCGTGCGGCAAACACTTATATTCTCTAAAAGATGATATTTATGATATTTCTAGACTGTCTGGGAACACGTCATAAAGAATACAGTGATCAATTGTCAGACTGTAATGAGCTGCAAATAGTTGTTGTGTAATACTGATAGGTGTGCAGGAAATATCCGCTTATTGGAGGCTGCATGTGTCAGGAATCAACAAGACATTGACTGACTGCTTCATGTGGTGTGACCCTTTGTTTTATTTTTTTTAAATCCGCAAAGTTTAAACACCATGAAAAGCATGGACAGCTCAAAACCGTGAAATTAAATGTTTTTACAATAGTCTAAAGTGTATTGCTAGGAAACCATATAACCTAATGTGTATTGCGAGGAAACCATATGATCAAATGTGTATTGCTAGAAAACCATATGGTCAAATCAAATGTGTATTGCTAGGAAGCCATATGGTCTAAAGTGTATTGCTAGGAAACCATATAACCTAATGTGTATTGCTAGGAAACCATAAAACCTAATGTGTATTGCTAGGAAACCATATAACCTAATGTGTAATGCTAGGAAACCATATAACCTAATGTGTATTGCTAGGAAACCATATGATCAAATGTGTATTGCTAGAAAACCATATAACCTAATGTGTATTGCTAGGAAACGCTATAACCTAATATGTATTGCTAGGAAACCATATAACATAATGTGTATTGCTAGGAAACCATATAACCTAATGTGTTATGCTAGGAAACCATATAACCTAATGTGTATTGCTAGGAAACCATATGGTCTAAAGTGTATTGCTAGGAAACCATATAACCTAATGTGTATTGCTAGGAAACCATATAACCTAATGTGTATTGCTAGGAAACCATATAACCTAATGTGTATTGCTAGGAAACCATATAACCTAATGTGTATTGCTAGGAAACCATATGGTCTAAAGTGTATTGCTAGGAAACCATATACCGTACTCGACCGCGTTAGCGCCCATGCCCGGGCAAGCGCCCACCCCCCACTTTTGCGCAATTTTTATATTTGGGGTCACATTCGGCAAAGCGCCCACCCCTTCAAAATGCAACTAATTAAAACTTGGT